ATCACTAATACAGCTGTTTGCTCTTATATCCAAAGTGGATTCTTCAATCTTTGAGACACTCTCTGACAACTGCTCAACTGACTCTGACTGGTCTGAGTCACGTTCCTCTTCTTCCTCAATAAGCTCATGCTGCCTATGAGTGTATGAGTCCTCCTTCTTGCTCGGTTCCACCAGGCTATCTTCAAAACAACACGTGGAATAGTCAGTTGTAGCATCATCTGCTCGAATCCAGTTATTGGTAGCTCCATCCAGAGTATCAGCCATTGATGTTTTACAATCATTTCCATTTTCAGTACCATAATCCGTTCTGGTCTTATTACCATTGTCACAGGTGTTTCCTGTATCGTGCAGTTCACAACAGCAATCATTAAGACAACCGAGGGCACCGTTCTCATGGTCCGTCGTAACGTGCAGGCCACGAGTAACATTCAGAAGGCTGGCAGGTGGAGCAATGTTGATCACATGACAAGGTCTCTGTCGCATGGAGTCTTGGTTATACGAATCACTCTCACCTTCTGACTGGCTGTTGTTAGAAGCTGGCCAGCATTCACTGACAGACGACTGGTCCATAGCACAAAACATTCCCTCATTACTAACACTCTTCTGTTTCATATAAAGTTTGACAAGACTGAAGTTATGTTGCTTCCGGCCACCTCCGCCACTGCAGCTACTGGCGCCATCCAGTGAACTGTTGGTTTCTGAGTGTGCTGAAAGAAGACTGCTGCTGTTATGATGGTTATGAACATCATAAAGCTTCACACAACCCCCTAAATGTGGTCTCATTCTTGGTTCTGATTCCATCGATGAACTGCTCACGGAAGCCAACAGACACCTGCGCTGTTGTCGTGACAGGTTGGGCATACTTTGGCTCTTGAGGGCTGTGGCATCCACAGGCTGAAAACTAGGAATGCATGCTCCCTCAGCGCAAGTAGTATTGTTGTTCCCGGATGGGTGTCGTGTTAGCTGCACCTCGCTTGAACGTTTTTTTAACTTGCTCCATGTTGTATAGACGGAATCTGAGCGAGCCATCGACGTGTCCAATGGACGGCTACCCCCCACACCTCGTCCACCTGCCGGATGCACAAATCGGGTACTCGACCAATTGTTGCTCCCTGATGTCGTGGCCTCACTTTCACCTGAAGGAAATATAATGAATACTATAATTCATGTACCTGAACATATGTATTACACATATTACTATGTTCCTACTACCCTACTACCTACTTAACTGAAGTGCTCAATTGAAAACAGTGACTACAGTGACATGAGTTTTAGACAGCACCACATTTAAATACAGTTAACAAGGTACAAAAGTATGAGGTCCTTATCCAACTGATCTAGATCTTTTTGAGTTTCTTAAATAAATATTATAATAATATAATATAAAGATACATTTGTATATTTTTGGCATCTTAGATAAATGTACTAAATGAAATTCTACCTTTATGTACATAGCTGTATCAAAGTCAGTTTACCACTGGATAAGCAAGATACAGATAAATCAATCAATCAATCAGTTCTGTAACATTATGGAAATGATGGTTAAGTTATATCTTTTTTCTGGAGAACAATATGTATATTACGCATATTTATGCAGTAATATACATAAATAAGTATCTCATTATACCACTAGATGGACAGTATTGTTCTTTTATGACACAACTCCATTTTCACTTGATCCTTTTAATGAGACAAATTCTGTAATATCTAACTTCTGGGATTTAATGTCATGTGGACTTATAGTAGGCAGATATCAAGATTTTGCAGGAACATACTGTACTGAAGATGGATATATTTATTTATTTTTACTTAACCCTCTTCTCTAACACCACAGAATTCAACTTGGGAATAATGTTCATGTAGATATCTGTCTCCTGCATCATGTAGTCTGGTAAAGTTTACTGACATATAAAAGGTGTTTTCTGCCTGCATCATTGCCCTGATGGAGGCAGCAAGCAAGTCTGAAGCATCAGCAAACTTCTTCCAGACTGCATGGTGCAACATCCCAGGAGACAGATATCTGCATACTTGCCACTATGAGAACCTGAATACCTGCTTCATGGTAGTCTGAATCTTCAGAGTAGAGTGTCATACTGCCCTCAAAGGCAATGGTGTAGTTGTCTTTATTAGCCTGACAAGTGAGCATGATGTCATGTTCTGTGAGAAGGTCGCAGTCCAGGGAGTCAACGCTGAAGTTGGTGGATGGGAGAGGACATTCCTTCACTGGTGAGAACAGCAGCTCTGATTTGCAGATGGACATGGTGTCTGTAGAGCCTGCAGAATCCTCTTCTCCCTAGTTACAGTGACAGAACATAATAAAATACATAAATTTGCAGAAATCACCTGCTTGTTTCCTGATGTCAACATTTTCCAGTGTCTTCCATATAACGATAGAAGATCTTTCATTTTTTGAGGAATAATTAAATGCAATTAAAGCAATTCGTTTCAGTTGTAGCTTCGGTATTTTATACGTTATGTTTTAGAGATATACATGAGAACTTTTTAAATTCATACTCTACATACTGAGAAACAATTAAGTATGCCGTGCATGATCCGAAGAGCTATGCTGGCGGTAGCATAGCTACTGGTAGGGGGAGAGGTCAGACTAAGACAGGTACCCTGGTCCTCCAGGTTGGGGGTTGGTCGCAAGGCGAACAACCTTGCACCGTAAAAAGGAAGATGTTTCGAAACCTCGATCAAAGCCTCGGACAGACGGGCCTAACAGAGGACTGAATGGAAGAGGAGAATTGAGGAGGCCATGGACCGAATACAGACCAGAGAGCCGTAGAAGAAGAAGGTGATGGCAGGAAAAGCATCGTGGATTGATTTTCATAGAACTGCATTATCTCATATAGCCAACGAGATAAACTACTGTTTCATCAGAAACATCAAAGAAAGCAAAAGCATATAAACATAATAGATCCATTTTGAGCATGTATATACAATTCTTTATTAAATTTTTCATAATATTCATGGTGTTTTACCACTTGAGACTTCTCTCTGCAGAATTACTTTGAACAAAATCTTGACTATATAAAAGTAAAATGTGATTTTCCCTCTCGTACCCTGCAATAAAGATTGATGCGGGAATGGAGGAATAGCTCAACACATTCATAACCACTGCACTATATTAAGTTAAGCGGCCAACTTCATGCTCTGGCCATTTACCCTAGGCACTCACTGGACAGGAGGCCAGGTCGGCATGAATGAAAATAAGTAAACCACTGAACTTCATACAAGAAAATGTTATAATCTATTTTTCATAACTTATAAACCCACACGTACATAGTTATTAACAAATTTTCATATCACATTGCCCAAAGCCTACAAGCAATGAAAAAAAATTAGTGTTTATGTTTCTGCAAATTGTGTGTCTGCTACAAAATATGAGAAAGACACTTGCTGGGTTGCTATGCAGTGAGTAACTACACTGATCACGTACAAATTAAATTTTACTGACCACGTGTCATAACTTATGCATGGTCCAGTTTGTTGTGCATCAAAGCAGCTGAACCACTGAAGTCTGGCCACCAGTCCCAAGTATGAGGCTTCAGATCCCCTGCTTCCTTATATTAAACGTTAACCTTTGGGCTACCATTTGAAATACCAGCGATGCTCACTGACGATCAGAATTTAAATAAAATCTCAGAGTGCAAAATATCACAAACAGTATGATTATAATAGAAATAAAACATGGTGTGCATTGGTGGTTAGCAGGATTCACAACCCATCAGTACATGGGTTCGATCGGGACCACGACATTTAACGCTCCTGCTTTGCCCCCCTTTTTGCGAGACGATGAAAGTGGAGTATTTGTTGGGATAACACAGAGAAACCGGGGAAACCCCGGAGGAAAACTCTGTGATGCCTGGACCACGGCCTTGCCCAACACAAGTTGTAAATGTGAGCACCGCCGGGAATCGAACTCAGCGTTCTAACCGCTAGACCACCGTGGCGGATAATCTCCTATAAGAGGCAGTAATATTCAAAGATAACACTACATATTTATAACTACGTAGATAATGATATTATTCAGGTTCATACCTGAGAGCTGGTGTGAGGGCTTATGGAGGAATCGAGATCAAACTTGGTCATCATAGAACCTGAGACACTCGCAAACATCTCACCTTCACGTTCGGACTGTCAAATAACAAATTCTGGTTAACACAGAGGACTATGGCAAGGATACAACATACATGTTCAAACACATTTTCCACAAGGCAAAGTAATAAAAAATTTAAAAAGATTTCAAAATCAGAATAAATTGTAGTATGAAATGTAAATATAATCTTCGAAGAAACAGGGTAATTTTATAAAAAAAGGTAGCAATTATTATCTGTGCTACTCGTGTCTGCAACACTCTCATTATAACTAACAGATTTCAATAAAATCTAACGTTTGAGGTACTTAGTTCTTATTTAGAAATCAACATTTGATGTACGTAACAATCTGACATCATCTCGAGTTTAGATCTGAAACAACTTTCAGATTGCAGAAGTGCCTTGAACGCTGTATTATTCTTTTGTTTGGGCATATATAATTAGCTTATGTGCTAATATCTAACAGCATTCTGTTACAAATTCATCAACAGTTTTAAGCGAGCCGAAATGTCTGAATGTCACGTGCCTTACTTGCCGGGAATTCAACAAAATAAACACTCAATGAATATTGAAGGAATATTTCTCTGAAAACCTGCATAGTATGTTGACATGTGATACACAGAACACACACGTTAATTTGACAAGTCAGTTTAACCATTTAATACACTTATTTAACAGCCGGTACCTGAAGTTCTCCACAGCACATGGCTGGTAATGTGGTGAGGATTGAATGGATATCTTCAGTACGGAAGTCTTCCATGTCCACCTCAGCTAAGTTTGCATCCAAGTTCTTGGCCATGTCATCATAATATGTGAGGTCATCACAAGCATACGATGTTGCTACAGATGACAGAACGCTGGTGTGATGGTGCAGTGAGTGATGGGTGGCGGACGATCCGTCCCGATAACTTTGATAAATAATCACAAGTTACGAGTTTAATTTTCTTTCCTTTTCTCAAATTCATAGCCACATAAATTAATAACGTATTATTAAATATTTGTTTTTGTATTTCCTGAAACAATAAGTTCTAGAATTTAAATTATCCCAAATAAAATGGGTCGTATTTTTTAAAATAAAATTTAATTTATTGTGTGTACATGACAAAATATGAATTATTATTTTTATTTGCAGTTTGCCTTACAACATACGACGCAACAGATCAGATGTGCCTGATTCTGGATATGAGGTGTGAGTACACGTACTCATGTGACCAACCATAATATACCTCCACACAAACTTTGAAATTTTCCACTTGTTCATTAGTTACTGTCATAAAACTGAAACATAAACAAAGTTTGTGCACAAATGCTGTAAAATATTCAAATTCTTAAAATGAAAACTCAACAAATGCAAAATGTTAGGTCCCTAGATGACGTGACATGTTGACACTCCCATCTTGTAAGTTTGCACAGTTGTCATGCTGATTCATACCCTGAGAATACCAGGATTAATATACAGTCATTTCAATAGCAGTTATAAGTATATAAGCTAATTAATATCCAACACCTTACCCATATTCAAGAAACCACTGATAATCAGAGTTGTCCTGAATGAAGTCCACATCCTGTGAAGAAGCATTGCTGATGAAACTTGAAGTTGTGGTTGTCTCGCCATTTTTGTCGGCTGCAGCAACAATGTTGCTGGTGTGGTTTGAGTTGCAGTCGGATTCGGGGCTGTGGACTCCACCAGTTTTTACTTTAGAGGTCTCCTCGCTCATTCCTCTCTGGTGGCTGTTGGGTTGAAAACCTTTAACAGTCAAGTATAAGATCATAATTATGTTAGAAGAAATATGTATGCAAATTATATATCCACGATGGAAAGGGTGCAGAGAATAATGAAAATAAGACAGGGCATGAAAAGAGGATTAAGAGACATCTTCGTAAGTTTCGCAGTTTTTACTCTTCATCAATATTATCAGATTAATCAAATCAATGTGGATGAGATGGAAAAGGCAAGTAGCACGTTTGGGAAATATAAGAAATGCATACAAATTTTTGGTTGGCAAAATGCTGAAGGGAAGAAAGCACTTGGAAGATTTAGGATGGATAGGAAGATAATATTAAAGTACATCTTCAAGAAATACCATAGGGCTGGATTCATCTGACTTATGACAGGATCCAGTGGCAAGTTTTTGTAAACACGGCGATTAACCTTTGGATTCAAAGAGATCAGAAAATTTAAATTTAATCTATTCCATTTCAAGATTCTTAACTAAACTGATTTCCTGAATCTGCTTTAATTTCCTCCTAAATTTAATTTTGATTTATTACTGTCAATCCTAGACGTAATGAACTTTACCACATGACAGCTCAGAAAGGAAACTATTCTCCAACTGCGCGGTGGACGTGTTTAACGGCACTAAAAATACATGAACTGCACACGCGCGGGCATCTATAGAAAATAAAAGTACCAATTTGAATGTGAAGACAGGTCATGGGTCTAAATCAGTATCTGACAAACAAAAACTTTCTATTAAACTTCACCACAGCAGCAAGAAACGGACCATTGCACAATTCATCGTTTTCTTTTGAACTGAATCGTAGCCCACCTGAACGACTCGATGACCGTATAGCGTAAAAATGGGGCACAGGCAGAAATAGTTTTCTGCCTTCCGCCCAGCAGAATTGGTGACTGGGGTACAAAGAGCCAATAATCAGATTCTACTTCTACCGTTCCAGACCTGAAATAGTTTTCTTAAAGCACACGACCGCTCTTAGTCGATGAGAGAGGGGAGACGGGGTTACGAGAGAGGGCGACGAATGTGTCACGAGTCCCATTTTACGCTCAGACTACAAAACGTTTGTATACATTCAGCTACATATTGATCTGCAGAAAATCGAAGACCTTGGCGGCCATTAAAAAGAACACCAAACGCATACAACCTTGAGGCCAAAACAGGTCATCATCAACTGCCCTAACTTCGTGACTAGAAAAAGACGCCACATCCACTGTTATGGCACGAAATTCAAAGACTATATTGTTGGAGTTATGCACTTACTGTTATTCATATTTTCTGGCGGGGTGTTATCAGTTGTACTGCGTTTTAATACTGTACGTCAGGGGTCGGTAACCTTTTCATTATCGCGATCTGCATTGCCATTCCATATCTTTGTCGTGGTCAATAAAGAAACTGTTTCTTCAACTTAATATTGTGGTTGGTATTTACATGAAAACGGAAAACAAAGTTTAATATAAAGACGTTGTTTGTTAGCTTTCAAATTTCAGTTATTAATTACACAGTAGTTTTCATGTTGTTTTGTTAAATTTCATACGGTTTGAACAACGAAACAGCCCAATTTTTAGTTGTAAGTCTACACTAAATAATATTTATAATATAAATCCGTACGTCAAAGACAGCACCACACTTCCTCGTTACAAAGGTCAACTGGTAATTTCTGTTTGAGGAAATAATCCCTGTTGACACCGAAGAATCATAAAGAACCCATGAATACAAAATTCAGCGGTCAAGACTGATAAATCAGATAGTACGGCTCGGTTTTAAAGAGTTACGCTGTCCCTTGACATGTTCTACGTCTCATATATCGCGGCCTTAAGCTCCATCTTAACAAAACTCTGGGTACGTTGCTGTCATCGTCCAACCTCTTCCACACAAAACAGTTGAAGCGCTGAGTTTGAAAGCAGCGGTACACGTCGTTACTCATGCGAGACATTGGTGCCACAATCCGATCACGCCGTGATCATTGTGGTTGTGACGTCACTAATGACGTGTAGTGTGATGTAACGTTTTCACTTCCGGTCGCACAATTCCAGAAGTCTGGTTATCAGGGGTTTCACTTCCAACATAAAGAACTCAGGAATCAAAAGGTTCCATCCGATTACCTGAAAACGTTATTTCTTTGTAAAGCCGAATTCAGATTCAAGTGGTTCTCGACATCGCATTTCAGTGCATACTGATTGTAAAATATGACGTACTTTATATTTTTAATCTAAATGGACACTGTTCGCAGCTAGTACAAAGATCAGAAACGCAAAATCACAAACCGACGACTTGTTTTCAGACAGTAAAAAGTGTTATAGTACTGTGCGTGTCCAACTGAGTAAGCTGTTTCCCATTAAAAACCACTGTCAACGAGAGAAGGTTGTCACAATCGAGAAGTACATAACTCGCGACTTCTAACAAAATTTCTAGGACGCTACTAGGCATGGAAATTCGGCAGCTAATGACTTGGCAATATAAGCATTGTAATTGTAAAGCGCTTGCTGTTTTATTCACCTAACCTCACTTCGTCGCTGCCGGAAGCTAGAAAAATCATCATAAAAATGGGACACAAAATGAAGTTTACAACGTTGCGCTAGATCATCCTCATAAGTACTAAATTACAGATAAATTATTTTTACACTTTAAACCCCGGGGTAACTATATATACCACATAATTTAACAATCAGTAATTTTGAATTTTGCCCATGGAATGTACTGATGACTTACGGCATTAACCAGTTCACCTATATTTGTAATGAAAAAACATTACGCTTTCTTTATCAACTACATTTTAAAATACTATTCAGGCGAGTTTCAGCCTGTCTCATAACTGAAATAAGTTTCATTTTAAGAAACTTCGTGCTGGATGACAGATGAAATTACAACGAAGAGTAAGTAAGTGTGGTAGGTCTAAGCCGGGAGTCTGAATTATGTCCTGAACCGCGAAGATATGTGGGCTAACCGAGGCTGCTAAGTGCCAATGTGGCCGGAAATTTGTAGATACCATAGTGTTTATAATGATGCGAGAGGTAAATTTATGTATTTCGTGAAAGAATGTATTCTGATAAGCAAGTTAAATGCTCTCTTTCTTCTGAAACGGTCGTAACAACCCACAAGACAGTCATCATCAATACTCGCCACGAAAAGAATCTCAAATCTCAGAACGAGAACAAAAAATCTTTGTCTAATTTCGCTCTCAGCGTTTCTTGGTGATAACTGTTATTAGCCTGCGACTATGTGATCACCCCTGAACGTCGGAACATATTTTAAACAAAAATAAAAGTAAATATACCATGTAGTAAGTTGAAATTTTAACGTTACTGAATGCGGTGTTGAACGTGACATTTAGGAAAACTACGATCGACATTAACTGTTGCTTATGTGGCAACAGCGCTATAACGTATAGCGGAATAGTGGTTTTAAGCACTTATCTACTGACTTAGACTTACAAGACCAGCATTACCAATTAAAGCACAACCTGTCACTACGACAGCAGAAACGCCAAGAATGAATTTGTATTGGAATAAAATGGACGTACGATTTGTGATAGGAGAGAAAACTGGGCTGCTGCTGGTTTTGTTATTATTTTTTATTATTAAGATAACAAAGTCAGACTTTCGTTGGAACAAGTGAACGTAACCTGATTTGAGTACCATCTTATGATAAGAAACGTCGAATATGTTACGGCCAAAAACGACTCCGTTTGAAGTAAAAACCCAACAGTAGCTTTTTCTAATTTTCAGATCCATAATAATATTAATCACTGGAAAACGACAATCGGTAATAAAACTGTTTTTTAAACACCCACCTCGCTTATTAGTTTCACGTAAATTTTAAATATTTCTTTCTTGGTCACACTTATCGCACTGCCGTTCTTTACTGACGCAAGTAAAAAAGAAGACAACGCAAATATGTATGCAGTGACAGACGTTTCAAATGATACATTTATTCTATCAGATTCGAGACACTGAGCTGCTGACGAACAGATCATCGTCACATGGTCTCACTCCGGCCTGTTCTTGTGGCTGCAAGGCTTCGCAGTGGATAAGGCGATAACGAATCACGAGTCTCGGCAATAATAAAACAGCAGATCTAGGCTACGAAGGAAGTTGTCGCAAAACGTTTCAAGATGCGTCAAGACTTCTCGGGCTTGTGATCGTACTGAAAAGATTCGGGGGTGAGCGTTACCGGTGTGTACAGACAGCTACTCTACCGACAGCGAACCTCTGGAGCCCATGGTCCCAGTTGATCGCATTAAAACCGTCCACTTTTGTGACGGCATACGAGACGGAGCATGGGAACGAACGCGAGAAATGTGTAAATCTGTTGTTGAAGTCTTTTTGGGCGATCAGCCGTGGGAGAATTGAGTCAGGATCCGTGCTATTGGAAGAGGAACAAACTCATTTCTCCAACGTGGGATTTGAGGTTCTGACGGCGGTGAGTAAGAAGATGGCTATCTTCTGGGTTATAGCGCCGTGTAATATGGTAGAAGTTTACCAACGTTTCAGAGGTCCTTCTGCTTCCATCATCAGGTCGTCCCTTTTTAACTTTTACCAGACCGCAACGAGCTACGGCCCAGAAGACAAGACATTCTCCATTCTCACACGGCTGATCGTCCAAAAAGACTTCCCTTAATTCAGTCACCGTGAAAGTTTCAAATCATCTTCTAGCATCGTTTTTATTTTGTACTGTAGAGACGGTACGATAACATTAAGACTGGTATTACGGGGATTGGCCGTGTTAAGTAACGAGCTCCGGTTTAAAGATGTCCACGACTGTAATCTTGAGACTTGCAAGGAATGCAGGAAGTCCATAGCGTTAAAGGGACCCCACTTCCTCACCTCTCAAGTCTCAAGATTACAGTCGTGGACTGTATTTAGTGCTGAGATCGACTGCCAAACAGTAAAAATGTTTTCTTTCTGCTCCAAATATCGAAAATGTTTAGAATCACATTTATTATGATTCAGTGAAAACGTGTTCTCAGAACCGTTTTTGTGGTGGAGCGGAGGTTGGAGATAAAAATAAG